TACATACTGTGTAAAACTGAAAAGCGCATAGATAAACACTTGAGGTTAGTGCCTGTTAAAAGATGTTTTCCTTACCACTGTAACTCTGCAAGATAACAGTATGCCAAAAACAAGTGTCTCATACTGTTGTGGTGTGAAACTACAGGTGTATCTTTGTATCTTTGTTTCAGCTGCAGTCAAGCAGAGTGGAGACTGTCCCCTCTGTTTGCTGCCTCAGTGTCAGTGGCTGGACAGTTTAAAAATTTTGGAAAAAAAAAAAGATTGACAAATTTAAAACAATATGAAGACTGCTGTGGTGACTGACACAGCTGGCCTGGGACATTTTCCATGAAGGCAGAACTTCCAGGTTGTTTCATGAGCTGTGTCTGACTTTGAATCTGTAGAGAAGTAGCCAAAAAGTTGTGTGTGAGGCAGAGGCTGAATAGTGCTGAAATGAAGGTTTTCGGAGACGCCAGAATGAGATAGTTTTTTGAGCTGTAAATCATGCAACAATTTTCCGTAGACTGACGGAACGGCAGGTGAAAATGAACACAATAGAACTCAAAGACCCTCCTTACAGATTTAAAAAAATCATTGTCCAAGTCTCCCAAACTTTCCCAACTGGCTCCAGTCTTCGAAGAACACCTGCCTGACTTCATGTTTATGTTCCCGTCACTCCTTGGGGAAGTTGCCTGGTGATAAAACACATTTTTGCATTTCTTTAACTCAAACAGAACTTCTGCTACCTCATTTTTACTCTCTTCACTGTCTTCATTGTCGCCATGGCAGCAGAGAACAACACTGTATCACGTGGGATGGATGACATAACGCTTCTTTCCAGGCGCAGGGTTGCTTTTTTTTCCCAGAGTAGCACCGAGTACCGCAGGCCTGGCCCACTGCTCTGCTTTTGTGTTTCTTCCCCTTTGCGGTGGAGGTAGAAAAAAAAATGGATCATCTAATGTCAGCAGTTCAGGATCGTTCTGGAATAGTCATCTGACATGGCACTGTTTCCAAAAACACTCTCACCTTATTTCAAAGTGGTGGGCTTTCCCATAGTACTGTTTTCCATTCTTTGAAATATCTTTCTCTCTCTCTCTGCTCTTCTTCTCTGTCCTATTTCTTTCCTTCCCTTCAGTCCAGCTTTCCCTTGTTTTTTTCCGTTACATAATTGCAGCCGCTCTCCGTTGGTCGCTCTCTCCTGGCCAAGAAGACTCAGAAAGTCCCACCATTACTATGACTTCAACTTTCCGCTGTATGTGTGTCCTAGCAGAGAGAACACAGTATTATCATAACAGTTAGCCTCCTTATGATGTAAGTGTCTTCAGTGAGGAGAAATCCTCCTGCTGAAGTGACACAGTCCCCCCCTGTATAAAAAGACAGAGGTGGTTTTCAGGGTGCAGTGAAGAAAAACAATAATAGTCTAAATCAGTTATGGTAAACTCACATGCAGATCGCAGTTCGAGAAGATCTTGCTGAGCGGAAGCAGTGATTGAGGCATCATCCCTGCAAGAACTTTGGATAACCTGAAGCAGTAACTTCTGAACTCTTGTTTTTATTCAATCCAGAGCTGACTTCGCTTTAGTTTGTTCATTTTTATTGTTTTCTTGGATTTTTATTGCCTTGCTCCGCAGAATCACTGCAGATGCCCATTGTGCATGCATTCGGACTTCCATTTCTCTTGAGATCTTAACTTAAAATTGTATTATTGCTTTGCATTCCCAAAGTTGCAAAAATCAAAAGTGAACTTGGACGTCTTTCACTTAAAGATGAGTCTCAGGAGGCAGGAAATGACATCAAAAGCAAGCTGAGAAAGGCACTGTGGGAGGTTAACGGCATGATGGCAGACAAAGCGATTGAGTCTTCGTCTATGATGACAGTTTCTACATCGATACTTGAGGACTGATGAGACTTTATTTATATATTTTTTACTTGTTTCCCCCTTATTCATGCCATTTTGTGAACATGTAAAATACTAGAAGCATCAGTCTTCACTCACTGGTCCGATCACAAGACTCATTTTTGTTTTCTGTCCTCTTGAAATGGGGAAAAAGAGTTTAAGGTACACAGCTGCAGCCTGGAATTTGCTGCACAAGAATTTGGATCTGACATAGAGGGGCAGGTACCTTTAAAATGGTTTTAAAGTAGATTGAAGGTGTTGGAGCATAGACTGTATATACTATAAACAACCTGTTTCCGCCTACCGCCTGAATACGGATTTGAAGCCAAAAAGCTCTCGGTATTTCCGGGATTTTTCTTCATTTCCTGAAACCAGCGCTGCTCAGTAGTGATGTGCGCATTCGGGTGCGCAGTCGCAGAGAGTCGCTGTGATGACGCTCGGCTCAAACAGCGTATCCCCCGGGAGAGCTAAGCAATCCCTGAACGCCCATAGGCTGTATCAGGTGTCAATCATAGAAAATATGAACCCCCAAATAACTTTTAAAAACGGAGCTGTACAGAAAAAAGAGGATTTGAGCACAAACCAGCCTTACAATAACTACATATCAACATCGCAAGCAGGGAGGAGAAAAATTTATGTTCTGTGCAATAAATTTCTAAATTTGGTCCACAGTCCCATAAGCTTTGCTGGTGGAGGTGGGATTTATGACCTGTACTGCAGCCCATCAACAGAGGGTGCTGTTCTCGGAGTGGCTTCACCCAGAGATGACGCAGACTCTGTCCATTCTTTATACAGTCTACGTGTTGGCGGAAGATGAATCAGGTTTTGACCTTCTGTGATGTGACAAAATCAGGGTTTTCATACAGCTGTATGAGAAGCCATCTGAGTTTTTTTGTCATGGGGAGGTTAGGTAAATAAAATGTGGATGCATGTCCACTCATTGCTTCAGTGTAACCCTGAATCTCAAGTACATTGAAAGCTTTATGTTCAGTGTTTGACATGCTGTGCTGGCTGTGCTTATCCTGCCTCTGATTTTTCTCTGTATTGTGAATGCTGTTATAATGCAAATCTGACAATGTATGCAAACAAGGCTGATGGAAAGAGTAAGACTGCTCTACAGTTTTGTTTTGTTTTTTTTGTTTTTTTTTACACACAGTCTTTGTAATGCTGAAGTTTTCCTTCAGCAACATCTCACAGAAATTACTGCACAACTCTCAATGACAGTCCTGACTTTTCTTTTGATGGTAAAATAATGCCGTTTGGTGGAGAAAATCTGCTCAAGGACAGGACAAGGCTGTGCAGCATTGTGTCTTTACATAAAAGGAATAAAAATGCTTTTAGAACTTGTTTTTTTTTCTGTCCTATTTCTGCAATGGAGTCTTCACCCAAGATCCTAGAAAAATCCCTACATTCTGAGTCATTTGCTCACAATCAGGGTTCAAATCAACAAAGATATACACTGTATTATTAATGAATAGTTTACAATTCACCAGTATCTTAAAAATGATCATTGCCTGTATGAGTGCAAAACATCAAAGTTAAACTACAGTACTATTTATAACTGCCCTTGAACTGAGCCAGATGCCCAAACAAAAAAAAAAAATCAATCACAAGAGCAAATGTTTGCAGTAAATTTACAGAGGAATTTTGCAGGTTGAGCAAAAAAAATGCACAATTTTTACTGTCACTTTTCCTAACATGCATTTTTAGGGCCCATGGGGTTGATTAAGGACACAATAAACTCAAAGCTTTTTCACGGTGACCAAAAAGATACTAACCGAAATTTTAGTTTTTGTGGTTCTTAAGAATTTGAAGCATGCATCCTTTTCAATTTATCAACACCTACACAGTCAAGAAGGAACCCTGGCTTTCTATTCCTTCCATGCATCCTTACATCCTTCCAAAGTCTTGGATTCACTTTAAGTATGAACCTTTAAGCCATACAACAGAAATGCGAATAGTCCCAACAACTGAATAACTGATGATAATATTTGATTAAACTTGTGTGGCTGTAACTTTTCTCTGCGTGACAGATGTTCCTTTATCAGAGATTGGCACAGATCAGCTCTATAGGATCCCTGGCAGGTGACGTAAACATTATGTCTTTACAGTGTCACCTGTCTGTGGGTGGGGTATGTCAGGAATCAGGTGAAGATGTTGTCTTTGGAGAGGATGGATTGAAACCAGTGTAAAAATATGAATAACATTGATAAAAACCAAATTGTGATGTTTTGATAGGTCAGAGCATCTTCACGTGGGGTGTTCACAGTCTGCAGATGTCAGTTTCTTCTAGAGAGAAAGAAAAACTTTGTGAACCAGGGGGAGGGTCATGGACAGCCAAGGCTCATCAATGTGCACTGACAGCAGAAAGCTACTGGAGCTCAGTCTGTAGAAAATATTGAAGGCTGGTTCTGATAGAAAGGTGTCAGAATACACAGAGCATCACAGTTTGCTGTTCATGTGGCCTCGGAGCTGCAGACCGGTCAGGGTGCCCATGCTGGCTCCTCTCCACCTCCAAAAGTGCCCACAGTGAACGGATCAAAACTGGAACAAAGAAAAAAATAAAATAAAAACAAAACACAAACAAACAAACAAACAAAAAACATAAAAAAATAGATTTAGCTCAGAGGACACTGTCAAAGAGAGGAAACTATACATATATATATATATATATATATATATATACTTAACTTTTTGAAATTCTATATGACATGCTTTATATTATTTTATAAAAAGTAACTTCATTTAATTTTTAGATCATTTGAAAATATCTTAAAATAATTTTTTGTTGTTTTTATTCTATAAATGCGAACAAACAAAGTAATCAAGTAAAATGAGCGATTTTCGATTAAGTAGGAATAAATTGAGCCGTTCACTCTGATATCACCAAAATAAAATTACAAGCAGGGTACTTTTTCTTTCTTTCTTTCTTTCTTTCTTTCTTTCTTTCTTTTCTTGCGCGATAATGAATGCTTGATTTAATGTTTTAGTTCGATCTTTATCCGTTTTCAGATGCCCACTTCAAATTCTTTGTTCATGCCTTAACTGTAGCGCATGCGCGGGGGAAGACCAGTGACATGTCTCTGATTGGCTAAAAGCAAGTGACGCTAGACTTGACGAAAACGGAAGTCCCCGTCAATAACAACAGCGCGAACTTTCGAAGCTGCTCCCCGAAACTCTTCAAAATCCGTAAATGGCAGAAAAGCCTTCAAAGTCTAAACTGAAAAGAAAGAAAGTTTCTGTGGAGGATCCTCAGTTGAAAAAATGTTTAGGAGGAACGCAGAAAAGGACTCATACATCGATTTCAGAGGCTGAAAGGTGAGTTTGGTGTTCTCTGATAGTTTTGGATGAACCACATTTAAAAATTTACAATTTAAAAGGTTTCACACTCACCATATTAACGTAACTGCTTGAGGAATATTAGTATGGATCATATAAGAAAAACTGGTTTCCATGAATAATTCGGCGGGTTGATGAATCACCTGTTCATACTTTTAAGATCTTAAACTCCTGATTTATTTTATGTGGTTCGCTCTGTTCTACAAAAAAATACGGAGGGTTCATGACACATCCAAACACAGGATTTTGACGGCGTTAAGTACACTTCTGGCTCTAGCTTTAGGTTAATAAAAAGAAAATGGTAGAATATAAATTAACAAAAAGACTTATAACTCAGATAAAGTGCTGTTGACTTCTCTGGAGATCTAATTGGCCATTCACAATATATATACATATATATATATTTTTCCTGACAGTGTGCAGGAGTTGCTTTTGGTATTTAAAAATTACACATCATAAACATTGCCATTTGAACAGTTAAGCTTGGGTAATACTGGTGGAAGGCGGAACCAAGTCGTCCATAGTATATTCAGTCTATGCTTGTGACACATCAATGCCCAATTTAAATTTGATGTCAGCAACATGATTTTAAATATTGGTAAAAGAACAACCAAACAGCTAAAAAGTTGTGTAGTGGCAAAAAAACAGCAGGGTAAACATCGGCCAACTAATGAGGGTAATGTCCAACGGGTTAGTAGCATGACTGGGTATAAAATGGACATTCAGAGAGGCTGAGTCCATGCATAGAGGAAACCAGTCAGAAACATGGTCCAGAAACAGCTGAGACTTCTCTGTACCTGAGCCCGCTTAAGGTTGACAGAGGGCAAGAGGAAAACAGAGGGACTAACTTTCAGTTAAGTGTCAATTTGCAAGCCATCTGAATCTACTTTTATGATATTTTACACAGTGTCCCAACTTTTATGAAATTGGATGGGAAATAAATAATGCTCCAGTTGGGCCACCCCAGTCTAAAAAATCTGGACACACCCCTGAGTAAAAACACTACTCTGACAGCCAGGAGCATAAAATAGTTTGGCTCATGATGGAGTTTTTCTTCCACACCAGGGCTGTATAATGAGTGATTTGGGAGGAATTGTGTTGCAGCATTCGGCACAACAGCTCTGAGCTGAATTTGACTTATTTTTTATGCTTTTGGAAACAGAATATATAATGAGAAGCAGAAATGGAAAGCAAATGAGTGCATGCTTAAAAAGGGGAAGCTAGAGCCAATGATAATTTAACCTTAGTAATAGAATTTAATTAACTCCTCTCCCACACAATGTCAACTAAACAGAATATTCGACTCGAAAAGGGCAGCATTTATTGCATGGCTGATCCATTAGATTACACGGATGGACATAATAAATTCATAACTCACTGAGAGGCTAAAGCCAAGCAGGAAAACAAAATCTTTGAGAATTTCCAGGAAATTTCCTCCTGGAAATGGCCCGATGGGAACACTCTGGTAGATAATAAGAAGAGTAAAAACACAGAAGAGTGGGCTTACATTTCATTACTTACACCAAAGAGGAGAAAACAGAGATCAAGCTGTCTGACAGTCATTATACATCCATCACATGTTTACAGCCCTCAGAAAATGTTCCTGTTCTTGTTTCTAAAAACATTTTAGCTTTACTTTTTTTAATATATGCAGCGGGGTCGGATCTACATGTTTCTCTCTCTGGCTTTGTAATTGACACAGGAGCACGCTGTGCACCACATCAAAGAGATGTTTCATAAATAATTTGATTGACAGATTAAAAATGCATACAAAATAATTTAAAAAGAGAAAGTCTGAAATCTTCATTGAATTTCTCTCTCTCCTGCTGGGTGTCAGAGGATTAAATCTACTTTTTAACATCTGGAAACTCATGATGAACTCGTCAGAAGTGTGGTATAAAATGCAACAGATTTCTAATGAGATGTCACATACAGAAAGCATGCTGGGTGGTTGTGTGTAAAGACAAGGCCAAGTTTGATCAGAGAGGGAGAACTAACTAAACATCAGGGATGTGTTAGTAGACAGTATGGAGGCTTTTCCCTGAATTATGTTAAAAAAAGATGTCAAACACTGGAAAGTGTGTGTGGCTGAGCACGTTTCTCAGTTCTGATGAAAACATTTTCACCAGTGGCACCTCCTCATGAATTTCCTCTTTTTTGAGTCTAATATCAGGATGAAGTTAGCACAAACATTAAACGTTAACATTTTCTCAAGAACACATTATATCAGACCATGACAGTCTGCAGTAAAATATAAAGAAGGATGCCAACAAAACGGCAACATGTCTGATAGAGTAATATTGAATTTCCCCTCAGTGATCAATGAAGTTCTTCTTCCTCTAAAATACAGCTGCCTCGTGTATCCAGGTTCACATCCGCTGATATGGATGATATTTTGCACTTGCTGCTGGGGGTGGGTCTGTACTCTCTGAAAACGGTCTTCTTTCTACAGGTCAGCTGTTCCTGCAGCCGTGTGGTGGAACGGAGAGCAGCTTCCTGCTGTGGAGTCTCTTTGGGCGCTGACACTCAAGTCTGCTCTGCCGCAACTGCAGAACCAGAACTGGGATCTGGTTCCAGATCTCCCAGAACCATCTGCAGTGGTATGTACTACTCTTTCCAGAGTTTTAGATTTGAAGTTGTGGGTGATTCCATGTGTGAAAATGCAGCAGGTTTTATTTGTGGCGAACAAGTGGCATGAGTGGCATGACAGTGGCGTTACTCTGCAACACACTTGTTTTCTGCTGTTGTGTTTGGAAAACATTGCAGTGACATGAACAACAAACGGGAGACATTTCTCAAAACTCCTGCTCTCCATGCTCCTCTGAGGTGCTTCCCCTCCTGGCTTTAAGAACCCTAACCCAGTATTTTCACTTACAAGGACATGTCTTTACCTGCTGTGAGATTCGTGCAAAAGGGTGGGAAATGTCAGGACCTGAAAGTCTGTATATTGTCTGGAATTCTTGTGTGAAAGATGCATAAGAGAGTTGTGTATCTGTTTCCTCTTTATTATTTTTCCTACTCCTCACTACACCTGAAATATTCCACTTATGATCCCATTTGCATCTGTTGGATTTTGGCTCTCAGTGACGGTTAACTGGTTGAGTTTTCTTCTTTTAAGTGATAAAATCGCCAAAGATTCTGAATTTCCCTTTACTGGCAATCAATTCAGATGGACTACTTTCATCCAAAAAGGGGGCGGAGCTGCAACTAAGGGGCAAAATATCTGAATGGGGTGTCATCCATGGGCAGTTTTAGGGACTTTTTAAGGGCAAAGATAAGAATGGAAAGCATAAAGTTCATCTTTATACAGAAAGATGTTTTCATGTTTTACTGAGGTGAAAATCAACTCTGTCCTACTTTTCTCTCTGTTATGACAGACAACGACCGCTCTGAAAGAGGATGATCTGCGGTGTTGTGACCTCAGAGACGAGATCCCTCCCTTCCCAGAACCGTCTTCAAGAATTCAATCTGGTCCTCTCAGGTCCAGTTCCTCCCAGCAGGACCCTCCAGTTCAAACCAAACCTGCACCAGATTTAGACCCACAGCTGTCCTCACAGAGCAGGACGAGTCTCGACATCAAGAGAAGGTCTCTTCAAGCCAAAAGACAATCAAGTGTTGGAGGAAACATGTCTCTATCAAACCAACAGGAGGTATCTGATTGCACAGACTTAATGCAGGAAGTTCAGAATAAAGAGGAGATGAAGAGGAGTGACAGAGGAGCAGGAGGAAGAGTGCTGCAGAGCTGTCCCATGTGCCTGCTGGAGTTCCCTGTTGGGTGAGAGCTGCAGCACCTTTTCATCTTTTTTTAAAATCTCAAATCACACCAGTTTTGCTCTCCCATCTCTGTAATTTTTTGTCCTAATTTCTCGTTTTTTGGAGAAGCATGTTGGCGTTTCAGTCCCACTCACTGGCTCATTGTGCAGCTGCCTTTCATTTCCAGCTATTTTCTTTTTTATTCTCTGCACCCACTGCTCTCTCTGTGCTACAATTTGGGAAAAAAACAACATTTATGATGTTTCGTACTTGCTGTGGTGATGAAAAGGATGCACATTTGATTTAGTGAGGAACATTTCTTACTAATCCCCTTCAGCTCCCGATCCACTGCTTCACCTCAGCAGGCAAACAGGTGGCTTTTATATGCACAGCAACAACAAATGCAAATATCATCGATGCTTTCTCTCCAGCACACCTCTGAGTTCAAACTCTGAGTACTTCCATGTCGATAAAACATACTTTCAGACTTTTATTATTCATAATCTGTTCATGTTTTCAGGCCAAAACAGCACTAGAGCTGTAATTAGAGCTTGAGTTTGTTTTCTTAAAGTAAAAGAGACTTTTAGAATCAATTTGACGGTCTGTTCAGCTCATTCTAGCGCTAAGTGCTTTCTTTAATCAGTCATAAAACGATCCAGGTTCATTAAAAAAAATACCTATTAAATGATGCTGCTCGAGCATCAGAGGAGGTGAAAGATATAATAAGTTTGTTATGTAATTGTAATATTAATCATATGAAAGCTTTTAAATTATTATAATTTTTTTTAAATTACAATACAGGGGCGGAGATGTCCCATCTTGGCATTTTTACATCGATCAGAGACCTCTAATGTGAGGCAATCATCTCATCTAATCCATAGGGGCAGCTGTCACTAAACTCAATCTGCACTTGGTTCCTTTCAAAATAAAAGCACGTGTGGTGTTGGAACAGAGAAAAAGGAACATGGACATCAAGCAAAAAAAAAAAAAAAAACATGTATCACAAGTAACAGTTTTGAAAGTCAACCTCCTCTTTAAAGCTTGAACATGAAAAAAAAAGAAGTGAAAACTGTATGTGTCAGTGTGTGAATGTGAGTCCATCTCTCTCCTTGTTCTGGTCTCTGCAGGTTCACACAGATGGACTGCGACAGCCACCTGGCCCAGTGTCTGTCAGAGGTAAACGAGGATGTCACCTGGTGAGGGGGCGGAGCTCTGGAGCTGCACAGATCCCCCTTCCCCACAGGATTGTTTGTCATGAAGGAGGACACACCCAGAGTGAACAGAGGCAGAGGTATTCCTGGAGAAAACAGACGATATAAAAGTAGATGCAGCATTTATGAATCCTCCTCTGGTCAGGATATCTGCGCTGATCCTCGTCTGCTCTCAGATTTGAATTCACCTTCTTTGGCTCTACATCCACTTTCTTTCCTCTGCTTTGTCATATCCACTTGTCCTCCAGCTATTCTGGTTCCAGCTGGTTAAGAGGACTTCCAAAATAAGATGACGATCCAACCCTCCACAATAAAAGCAGGCCACAGCCTCCACATAGAAACATGTCAGAGAGTGGGTGAATGTAATTGGACAGCTGCACAGAAATAACAACTGACTCATCTTCGGCCTAAAAAACTGCAACTGTTATCCTTATTTCTCAGATTCAGTGGTTGAAATTAATAGCTGTTGTTGAAATGACTCATTGAAGTTTTTCTTTTACATGAAAACAGTTTGTGTCTCTTGTTAACGCTGAACAGTGGAGTCAAATGAACAAGATAAAAAGTTATTTTGACTTTTTAATGAAGGATTTGAAAATGTTTGACTCTGCTGTTTTTGCATGAATTGAATTTGTTTGTGTTCAGAGACTTTTCCTGTTCCAGCGCTGATTATTATTATCTTTTTTTTTTTTTTTTTAACAAGCAAATGAGTTCACAACTTTTGGTAATGAGGTTGTCATCTGTAGCCTCAGCAGTGTCATATAACTCTTACAGCTAATCTGTGTTTAGGGTTTTTGTTGATTTGGCCTCTGGAGCACCCTGAAGCCGTCCTGGTGTTCCTCAGTTTCTGTTCTCTGCGCTCTTAAATAAAAGTTGTTCTAAGCTGCATGTAATCGTTGCAGCCCAGTTGCATTAGCAAATAAATAATTTAAGAGACTACGTATATGCTCGCCAATGCAACAAGTCTGTGATGATCACATGCAGCTGTTAAATGATTACATTTAATCATAAATATGCAGCAGAATAGACCAGTTCTGTTTTATATTTCTCCATATGTTATCAGGCTGCTGTAATACTCTCTACCACAATAAATCTTAAGATGGCATGGTTAGGGCTGCTAAACTATGGCAAAAATCATAATCCCAATGATATTTTTGTCGTTATTTAACTGAATGAAAAGAGTTAAAAGAAAAGTTAGAAAGTATAAATGTTCGATTGATTAGTAACCTGAAGAGACACCAGCTCTGACGTTGTTTTCGATGCACAATAAATCTTAAACATCAGCATTAAAAATGCCAAATCTCATCTCTGCTAAAACTAGCTCGCTAGCAGTCGGCTGCTTCTTCTTCATCTATCATCTGTTTCCTTTTGTATGGCATCCAGCATAAAGAACCACTGCCATCAAGTCGTGTTGTTACTGTTTGCTTTATATCAGCTTTTATTGTAAGCATTGGTATATTGTGACAGCCCTACTGAGAACTGTTTCAGGGACAAAAAAGAGCAACATAACAGGGGGAATCGTTTAATCTCAATGATCATATTTTAAAAAAGAATGAAATTAAATCCAATCACCTAGCTCTATGCATGGGCGTGGTAGTGGGGAGAAAAGTGGACCAGACTACCCAGGGCAAAAAGGGAGAGGGGCCCATGAAAATCCTGTTTTTTTTTTTTTTTTTTTTTTTGCTCACACGCCTCGTGCACTGGCATGGATAGGGGCCCACTGACATTGAGAGTGTGCAGGGCCCAGAATTTGGTGCTACGCCCCTGGCTCCACGTGTAGTTAAGGTACCTCCTTCAGCAGCTCTATATTTTTAATCCAGCTGTCCACACTGTTAACTCCATCAGCAGGCAAAAACTGCTGCCACTGACGGCACCACACACAAACTCTGCTCACCTGATTTCTCTTTATCTCGTCCCGAAAGTACAAGCAAACCTCACTGGAAACTTTCCTCTCAATTTGAATCTGATTTCCTGCTTTTTCTTACTGATTTCTTTGACTGTGTTTGTGCAAAATTCAAGCTGCAGGGACACTCATCTTAATAGGTTTGTCATGTTGTACCCTTCTGCAGATTTTTTATACTATTTACCCGTAAACAACACAACTTTATTTTCTCTGCATCAAAAAGAAAAACTCTGCTCAATGATAAATTAGGGTTAATTGGCTTTTCTAGTCTCCTGGTATTAACAGAGTAAATTGGTGATCAGAGGAAGTGCTGCAGTGTGAGGCAACTCCCAGGAGACACACACACACACTAACACACACACACAAAATTGAAGCATCTGCAAAGATTTTTCTGCCACCCTCTGCAAAAAAACAAGGACCCAGTTCACGGAAAACCAGTATCATTTTAATAATTACACATATTTACAAAGATGCGGTGAAGCAAAATGAAGCGAATCCAACCAGCATTATGTTAGAAAAAGAAATCATGGACAAAGTTCATTTGTTTTCTGATAAAATTCTCCCTCTTTTACATGTTTGAGTGACCTTCACGGGTCTGTAATGGGGTTTCAAGGACGCCGAGTTCATCTGTTGGTCCCTTGAGAAACACAAAGATGTCACTAATGTTTCACCTGAAGTGCAAAAAGATCAGAAACATGAATAAAACGCAGCAAAGAGGCGAGTTTGAGGGGAGGAGGAAACTTCCTCGAAATGTTGGAGTGATTTCTAGCTTCTTAAAGTGTGTGTGTGTGTGTGTGTGTGTGTGTGTGTGTGTGTTCATCATATAGGACTAATTGCTGAGTGTGGATCAGCTTCATTATCTCTCCCCTCTCTATCTGTCTTTTTTCGCCCTGCGGCTAATTGAGACCCTTTGACTCGGGATCAGCTAATTAATCCTATTATGTTGTTATCACATTAGCACGGGTCAGATTTCATCAAATAAATCTGAGCCAATAGAAAAAGAGCTTTTCTTCTTCTTCTTCCTCTCCTCTGAAGCTCACAGACAGAGAGATTTCAGAGGCGTTCGGTCTCTAACTTTGATCTCTGCTCGGAGCTGATAATCAATGATGACTTTGATTTTAATCTGAACTTTTTAACAACATGGAGCTTATAAATTTGGGTATAAATACAGTTTGTTGCTTGCTGTGTATAAAGTTGGCAGTTTATGAAGTTACAGCGTGAACTTCATTGCATAAAAATAAATTCCTGGGTTCTTTATTTTGCTCACACTCTGCACCAGCTGCTGGGAAATGAAAAGATCGATTTGATGGATGCAAGAGACGTGAGCAGAGATGTTAGAAAGAGAGAGAGCTGACCGTCGTGTGTCAGGGCCGGCTTTACACGGGCAACATCTGCAGCCTCCAAACTTCACTAAAATCATGTCATATTCAAAAAAAACTTCTGATGCCTTTGTTTGAGGAAAACCGCTCAGTGCAGCTTCCTGAAACTCTGCTAAAGGATAAAACTAAAGATCAGAAAACAAGAGGAACAAATCTCATCAGGCGATTTATGAAACTCTTGATTTGGTCCTGACCCAGTTCCTGATACAAAGAGTCCCCCTCAGAGTCCTCTGAAAGCATTAAAATTGATTTTAAAATACTAAGATTAATCTTGCAATAATCCCAGCTGATCAAAACTTTTAGTTTAACTTATTTTAAGTCTTGAGGTTGTTGGAAGACAGACGTAGATGCTTCATCGAATCATCCTTTTTTCATCTGATCTAGTGAGGCTTTTTCAGATTTTTCGTGCAATATTAATTATCTCTCTCTGTTTGTATTTGCACGTTACGCTCTGCAGTATGAACAGAGATGTTTTAGTACAAACATAAAAACAGGTGGAGTAGCATCGCAGAACTCAGAGGTGCAGAAGTTATAAATATAATAGGGCTGCAATGTTTAATGGATTAATACTGAGATCATGTTTGTTAATCATGATTAATTATCAATTTGAGGGACATTTTTAATTGTATTTGGTTTATTTTTAAAGTATATATATCCTTGATCTTACATATAGACAGGGCAGAGCTGAGACAAAAACTCTGTCCTGGCATTTTAGGTCCACATTAGACCGTGTGACCACTGTGAAGAAACGATATAGTGCCACTTTATATGAATACACCACTTATAAAGCATCAGAAACTCATTTATGTAACTTAATTAATGCATTTATAAGACTTGACCACAACCTTTAAAGGTGTTTAAAAGCTTTCATAACAGCATAGAGCAATATTTTTCAAGTGTTTTAAGCAGTGACCAGAATGCCTACTGAAGGGATGATTTTTTTATGTATTAGAGCTCAATACATTATTATAGTACTTATAAGAAGGGGTGTCCCCATACAACTTTCTGATTTCCAATATGATACCCATATTATAGCCTTCAATACTGACGGATACCAATATTGATCTCATATTGGCACAATATTGTGCATGACAAGTTTTTCACTCAGCTGCAACATCCTTTTCAGACTTCAACAAGAAATACTGCCACACAGCCGACATCAATCTTACTCCTTGCTACTCTGTTAGCACCTTAGTACACACTGTTGTGATTTTGTGGGCTCTGCATGCTGGATCCGGGCGCTGCTAGATAGAGCTGCCAGAGTGGAGTCTGGAATGGACTGCTTGTATCAGAGTGCTGATATCAGAGATTTTAAAAGCAGGCCATTTTTTTGCTGATATCGGACCAGTATCAATATCATATCAGTACACCCCTACTTATCATTTAGACATTGTCTTCTATGAGAATCATAAAAATTCATAATCATAACAAAACAAGTTCTTCATGATCTCTTATAACTGGATTACGTTGTGGGAGCTGTAATGTTATCAAACCCAGAATTCAAAAGAGGCATTTTACTCACTGTTTATAGCATTTCATAACTGTAGCTATATGTTGTTCTGAATGCCTAGAGGATATTTGTAAAGACTTATTAATGCATTTATAGAGTGTTAGAAATGTGCTTACAATGCATTATAAGTGGTGGTTTATATAAAGTGTTACCCACAAAGCCTTGTGTTCCTCCCACACTTTATACTCTTAGATTTTTATTTAGGGCTCATTTCCTGTTTGAGTGCACCAGCCTGCACATTCAGACTCTCACAGTCATAAAGATTTCGGTAGGAACCTTTTTTTAAGCTGGTTTAAAGTGAGAACAAGAACAAAAATACATTTTTCCTTTGACATGTTTGTCTGCAAAAACATGCATTCAGGCATTTTTATTCTTGGAGAGAAATCTGTGATTGCACTGAGCTGTGGTTGCACCGTGTAAAGCCAGCCTTGGTGTGAAGTTGGAAACACACAATGAGCCCAAAATGGAAACAGAGACACTTTTCCACAAGACAGCACAACCAGGCGGTCACAGGATCTTTTGGGCCGGCTGCAGATGGTCACACAGCGGCAGCTGGTGAGGAAGACTCTGAGCTCGGCCAGCAGGCCTGAGCACGCTGTGGAGACCAGAGACCTTCAGATGGTCTGTTTTTCAGATCGAGACCTGCTTTTTGAAGCTGTCAGACTGTGATGGTCAGAGTTCAACTTCTTTTACACCTTTAAGTTCATGTTTGCAGCAAACTCAGGACTGTGGATGCCATCTGCAAGGAGGATGTGTCCTCCATATTTAAAAATCCATCCATCAGGTCGCCCTCCAGTGTTTCATCTGCTACTAGTTGCAAAGACCTTTCATAATTTGTTCTGCACCGGTAATCTGAAATGATTAATAGACAGTAAAGAGATTCAGTCATGTGTAAGGACTGCAGAGAGTTACAGCACCCTTAAATTACTAATTCCTCTGAAAATTTGCAGGATTTGGACGCACCCCGACAGAGTGTCGTCATGTTTCAGGTTTCTTCCTGAAGCCATGAGGAGTGAAGAAATGTTCATTTAAAGATAAGTGCAATCAGAGACATGGTAATTAATACTATCTTTGAGGCACTTCTTAAATAAAAAGAGTCCCCTCCCCCTCATTGTTCATGAAAATCATCAAAACAAGAAAAAGAAATGTCGTGTTTGCGGATGAATCTGTGCCACTTGCATCGATAAAAAGGCATCATCAATTTTTGTACCACTACCTACATTATTTTACACAATAATAACTTATTTTTTCCTTTGTCTGTGTACATTCTTGTTCTGTGCGGGGCGTCGCCGCCCCCCCTACAAGATAGAAAAAAAGGAATTAACAAAAAAAGTGCATGTAAAACTTCAAGTTCCTCAGCAGAACTGTCATTGATGGGGAACGTGAGGCAGGTGGAGACGTGTTCATGATGGCAGGCACAGAATGAGACAGCTCTCTGCTCGTGACCCGACGCGAGGATGGACATTCTGACAGGAGAAAAGAACGAAGACCAAGGAGAGACAGAAAAGAAAAGAAGGGGAAGACGGCG